AATATAACATTCTCCCCCCTCCCTGGACAAAATAGAACCTTCTGCCCCCCTCCCTGGACAGAAGAGAACCTTCTCCCCCTCCTTGGACAGAATATAACATTCTCCTCCCTCCCTGGACAGAATAGAACCTTCTGTCTGCCTCCCTAGACAGAACAGAACCTTTGCACCCTCTCTGGACAGAATAAGACCTTCTGCCCCCTCTATGGACAGAATAGGACCTTCTGCCCCCCTCCCTGGACAGAATAGAACCTTCTGTCCTCCTCCCTGGACAGAATAGAACCTTCTACCTGAATCCCTGGACAGAATAGGACCTTCTGCCTCTCTGGACAGAATAGAACCTTCTGCCCCCTCTCTGGACAATAGAACTTTCTGCCCCCTCCCTGGACAGAATAGAACCTTCTGTCCCTTCCCTGGACAGAATATGATCTTCTGCCCCCCTCCCTGGACAGAATAGAACCTTCTGCCCCCCTCCCTGGACAGAATAGAACCTTCTGCCCCCTCCCTGGACAGAATAGAACCTTCTGCCCCCTCCCTGGACAGAACAGGACCTTCTGCCCCCCTCCCTGGACAGAACAGGACCTTCTGCCCCCCCCCCCCTGGTCAGAATAGAACCTTCTGCCCCCTCCCTGGACAGAATAGGACCTTCTGCCCCCCCCCTTCCTGGTCAGAATAGAACCTTCTGTCCCCCGCCCTGGACAGAATAGGACCTTCTGCCCCCCTCCCTGGACAGAATAGGACCTTCTGCCCCCCTCCCTGGACAGAATAGGACCTTCTGCCCCCCTCCCTGGACAGAACAGGACCTTCTGCCCCCCTCCCTGGACAGAACAGGACCTTCTGCCCCCTCCCTGGACAGAATAGGACCTTCTGCCCCCCCCCCCTCCCTGGTCAGAATAGAACCTTCTGTTCCCCGCCCTGGACAGAATAGGACCTTCTGCCCCCCTCCCTGGACAGAATAGAACCTTCTGCCCCCTCCCTGGACAGAATAGGACCTTCTGCCATCCTCCCTGGACAGAACAGAACCTTCTGCCCCCTCCCTGGACAGAATAGGACCTTCTGCCATCCTCCCTGGACAGAATAGAACCTTCTGCCCCCTCCCTGGACAGAATAGGACCTTCTGCCCCCCCTCCCTGGACAGAATAGGACCTTCTGCCCCCCCCCTCCCTGGTCAGAATAGAACCTTCTGTCCCCCGCCCTGGACAGAATAGGACCTTCTGCCCCCCTCCCTGGACAGAACAGGACCTTCTGCCCCCTCCCTGGACAGAACAGGACCTTCTGCCCCCCTCCCTGGACAGAACAGAACCTTCTGCCCCCTCCCTGGACAGAACAGGACCTTCTGCCCCCCTCCCTGGACAGAACAGAACCTTCTGCCCCCTCCCTGGACAGAACAGGACCTTCTACCCCCTCCCTGGACACACCAGGAACCCTCCCACTTGGGACTAAGACTCTCCACTGGGAAATACAAAAGAAAACCCACAAAATACACCAGAAACCCGACAATGGAGATCATGCATCCACAGGGACTACCCCCAGGAAGCCCCGAGGGTAACGCACACGCAAACACACGCACACACGCACACACGCATACACACACACACACACACACACACACACACACACACACACACACACACACACACACACACACACACACACACACACACACACACACACACACACACACACACACACACACACACACACACACACACACACACACACACACACACACACACACACACACACACACACACACACACACACACACACACACACACACACACACACACACACACACACACACACACACACACACACATAGAGCCCAATAGGCTCAGGAATCTGTACACCTGATAGAGCCCAATAGGCTCAGGAATCTGTACACCAGTTGATTGACGGTTGAGAGGCGGAACCAAAGAGCCAGAGCTCAACTCCCGCAAACACAACTAGGTGAGTACACACACACACACACACACACACACACACACACACACACACACACACACACACACACACACACACACACACACACATAGAGCCCAATACGCTCAGGAATCTGTACACCTGATAGAGCCCAATAGGCTCAGGAATCTGTTCACCAGTTGATTGACGGTTGAGAGGCGGAACCAAAGAGCCAGAGCTCAACTCCCGCAAACACAACTAGGTGAGTACACACACACACACACACACACACACACACACACACACACACACACACACACACACACACACACACACACACACACACACACACACACACACACACACACACACACACACACACACACACACACACACACACACACACACACACGTACACACACACACACAAACACACACATATTGTGTGTGTTTAAGGGGCCTCGCGGCTGAGTGGAAAGCACTCGAGGGTCGTAGTCCTAAAGGCCTGGGTTCGATTCCCGGCCGAGGCAAAAAAATGCGCAAAGTTTCTTTCACCCTGATGCACTTATTCACCTAGCAGTAAATAGGCACCTGGGAGTTAGACAGTTGCTACGGGCTACTTTCTGGGGATGTGAGTGTATGTGTTTGTGTGTTAGAGTAATATATGTAGAAGATATAATTGAAAATAATAGACTGGTTACAAAGGCGGGGTCTAAGATCTAATAGCTCGATTTTGCAGGCACAAATAGTTACCACACACACACACTTACACAGGGGGAATTGCCCAGCGGGTGGAAGAAGGTAAAGTTGGTGCCAATCTACAAGAAAGGAGATAGACAAGAGGTACTTAACTACAAACCAGGGTCCAGATTCACGAAGCAGTTACGCCAGTACTTACGAACCTGTACATCTTTCCTCAATCTTTGACGGCTTAGATTACATTTATTAAACAGTTTACAAGCATGAAAACTTCCCAATCAACTGTTGTTATTGTTATAAACAGCCTCCTGGTGCTTCGGAGCTCATTAACTGTTCAATAATTGTAAACAAAGCCGCCAAAGATTGAGAAAAGATGTACATGTTCTTAAGTGCTTGCGTAACTGCTTCGTAAATCTGGACCCAGTCTCGCTCACAAATATCTCTTGCAAAGTGCTTGAAGAAATTATAAGTTTAAGACTAGTTGCACACCTTGAAAGAATTAGGCTTGTAAATAAACAACAATATGGCATTAGAGCAGAGAAATCATGCCTGACGAACCTCCTGGAGTTTTATGATAACGTAACGAAACTAAGGCAAGACAGAGAAGGATGGGGCAGACTGCATATTTCTGGACTGCCATAAAGCCTTTGGTACAGTGCCACACAGAAGATTATACAATACTATACAAACTTGAGAGGCAGGCGGGAGTAGACGGAAACGCACTATCATGGGTAAGGAATAACCTGAGACTAAGGAAGGTAAGGAATACCCTGACACTAAGGAAGGTAAGGAATACCTTGGGTAAGAAATAACCAGTCAAAGAGTGACAGTGAGGGGCGAGGACTGACGTAGAGTAACAAGCGGGGTGCCTCAAGGATCAGTGCTGGGTACCATGTTATTCCTCATTTAAGTAAATGTCTTAACTGCAGGAGTTAAGTCTTTCATGTCAATGTTTGCAGATGATGCAAAACTAATGAGGAGGGTTGAGACAGATGAAGATTGTAAGATTCTCCAGGATGACTTGAACAGGTTGCAGAGATGGTCCGAGAAATGACTACTAGATGTCAACACTAACAAGTGCAAGGTGATGGAAATGAGGACAGGAGACCGAAAGACCAATTTACGATGAAGGGAAACTACTTGCTATAACGTCTAGAGAAAAAGATCTCCTTGTCTTTTAAGTTATGTTATGTGTAATATCCACTCCCAGACCTGGGAGTGGACATAACTCCAAACCTAACTCCAATGGCTCATATAAATAGAATAACGTCAGCCGCGTACTCTACTCTGGCAAGTCAAAACATCCTTCAGAAAGAAGGATGTTCTCATAATCGACTTGAGAATGGTCCAGGACGGACCGAAACGTCGTCGTCCCTTCACTTTCTAGTGTGTGGTTTGGTCAACATCTTTCAGAAACTTAAATAAGGAGGCTTTTAGATCACTGTATACCGTCTATGTGAGGCCAGTCTTGGAGTATGCCGTCCCATCGTGGAGCCCCATCTTAAAAAAACACATAAGGAAGCTCGAAAAGATCCATACGTTCTCAACAAGACTCGTCCCAGAGCTGCGAGGGATGAGGTACGAAGACAGACTGAAGGAACTAAACTTGACGACGTTAGAAAGGAGAAGGGAGAGGGGGGGGGACATGATACAGATGTATAAAATACTTAAGAGATATTGACAAGGTGGAAAGAGAGGAAATGTTTACAATGAATAACAACAGAATAAGGGAATATGAATGGAAGCTTGAGACTCAGATGTGTCATAGAGATGCTAGAAAGTTTTCTATTAGCATAAAGGTAGTGAGAAAATGAAATGACCTAGGGAGCTGTTTGTAGAGGCTAACTCCATGCATACCTTTAAAAGCAGGTATGATAGAGAAATAGACCAGGAGTCATTGCATTAGACAACCAGCGGCTAGAAAAGCAGGGTCCAAGAGCCAGAGCGCGATTCTACAGGCACAAATAGGTGAGTAAACACACGCACACTGAATATTTCTTATCTTATCGGCCAAGGCTCACTGCACTTACAACTGTATCACACTGAGTTATACGTGCAAAGAAGTGCCAATATAGTTTTGTTTTGCTTCATAGATTTAAAAAACACAGGTCCCAAGGTGCGTAATATTTTGAGAGGGGGGGATAATGTTTTGAAAAGGGAGGGGGCAATGTGGTGGGGGGTTAGAGGATCAAGAAGAGAAGGAGAGGGGGGAGATGGAGGAAAGGAAAGGGTTGAGATAGAGCGGGAAGGGGATGAGGATCAGGGGAAAATGGAGAGAGGAGGGGGGGGGAGAGGATCAAGGGGGGGGGGAAGGAAGAGTATCAGGAGGACATTTAGTGGGGGAGAGTGAGGAGAAGGTGCGTGAAAATCAGTGCACACAGAAGCCATATCCACCCCGACAGAACACAACCCACTAACAGCATCAGCAGAAACCTCCCAAAAGAAGCCATCGGCGCCTGACACCACCAAGCTCAAGCGAGAGTCTTTGTACTCGAGCCAACAATGCGCCGATACTTTTGTTGACATTTTTTCTACCAGTTCGCCAGCTTTGTTTCTTGGCTCGGCATTGTCTGGCCCTGAGCCTTACCCCGTCCATACACGAATGGGATATTTTATGGAAAAAAGGAGAGTGGCTGAGTTTGGAAAAAGGTGGAAGGGGAAACTGGTGCTTGTCTAATTGTATCAACTTGTACCTACAAGGTGTGATAACTGACTCTAAAGGGCGTCATATTGCGGCTGTTGGTTTACTATGTCCACTGCCTCCACATTGGTGTCCAAAACAGCTGTTTAATGCCCAGGAATTTATTATTACTGCCATATAAACGGGGGGTATCAGGTGGAAAAAAATTGTTGCCAAAACCGCTTCTGTCCTGCAGCGGGGGATTGAATCCGGGATCATTGGTAGTGAGCCGATGACTTGATCAACGTCCAAAACAATCTCCCAAAAGGTTGAAAACGTCCAACAGCCTCCCATAAGGCCGACAATCTCCAACACCACCTCCCATAAGGCCGACAATGCACAGTAGAAAAATAGTCAAATTACCATCTCTCGTGTCTATTTTCTATCGCCCCTGGCACGCTCAACCAGCCGGGCTGGCACTCTGGCACTAATTCCATTAATTCCCCAGCACCACTATCGACCAACAGAAAGTGGACCAGTGGGCAGTGTCAGCTTAGTCCTTAACAACCTGCGCTTAGGACCCAACAATTCCACTTCAGGCACTGTGCCATTATAGTTTGTTCGTTATAGATACGAACCCCCCAATGTGTACCATCACCAGGAACAAAGTTTAGCTCACTTCACCCTATATGTTCAATAGTTCTTGGGTTTCTCCTTCTCTTTCTACGTACTTTAAGGGAGTTTAACTCACGTAAAATATTTGTGTATACGTCGTATCTAATCTGTTGATCCACTGTATAATAATCAGTGGGAGCCCGTTTTCCCTTTTATAGTGTATATAATTTAGGCAGTTATATCTGTATGAATTGTTACTTACTGCTTATAACAGTTTTATGATTCTGCTCCACACTCTGGGGATTATCGTTTAATCTCTCTGGTGTATGTTATTTTTGCTGATCCTCGGATTAATCGCCATACGACCCTCGTTGATCATCGTTTAATCATTACAGCCTCATTTGGGAGATTACCTCATCGCTGTCGCTGGTAATATGTTGATCCTCTGAGCTATCCCTTTATCGGTATGAGTTCATTTGTATGTTTGTTTTCATGTAGGTCTTAGTGACCCTCATATTGTTCATGAAGGTCCTCATGACCCCTTAACCCCTTCAAACCCCATTTTATTCACTAGCCTCCTATTTCCCCCTCCCCTATAAGGCATCTCACTCGTAATATAGGGAGTAATGCAGTATATTGAACTATAGCAATGCACTATATAGTCGTAATGGCTTGACGCTTTCCCCCTGATAACTCTTTTCCTCTCTCCCACTACACACACTAAATTCACTTCCTTTCCCAGATATATTTTGCTGTGATTTCATACCTTTTCTCTTCTTTCTGTTACTCTTTTATCGTTTATTCCTTCTCATCTTTCATTCCATTGTTGAGTTCTACACTTTATTGCACCTATTTTCTCCCCTTATTCCACCCCCTTATACCCCCTTAATTACACCATTATACCTACTTTATTCCACCCTATACCCCCATTATTTCACTCCTATACCCCCCTTATTCCATCCTATAGCCCCTTTCCCTTATTCCACCCCACTCGCCCCTTACCTTTCCCTTATGTTCGTGGTCCCCCATCTCATCTCATCGCGTCACCTTCCCTCACACATCACTTTCCTTTGCCTTCCCTTCCCATCTTCTCCTCTCCCCCCCCCCCACCCCTCCACATACCCATTATACCCCCCCCCCCTCCACCATTATTTGCTGGCTCAGCATATCTCTGTTATGAATATCGACCCGACCATTATATTCTCCTGCCGATAATCAGAGGTACAATGGCTTCCGGTTAAGGTATCGGTTCGAGGCTTTCCGCTAATTCCATTTATCCAATTAATACTTTATTGCCAGACTCACCAGAAGTGTCTTTATTGGCTTTGTTTTTGTATGTGTCTTTATTGGCTTTGTTTTTGTATGTGTCTGTATTCTTTGCATTTTATTCTTTTATGCTGACACATTTTGCATCTTTATTCTTTGCATAATTAAAATTATTAGTTATAATTATTATTATTTTTATTATAAATAACGATTTTGCTCGAAGTTATCATTATTATTTGTTTTATTTTTGTCTTTGTCGTGATGGAGACACATGTCCAAGCTGACGAATATTCGTGTTGCTGTCAAATTCGTGTCTGTAATTAATAATTTTCGTTACAGCTTTTGCGACTTTGTTTTACTGAGACATTTGAGCGGTTTCCTGCGCCCCTGTTATTTATACAGCTGTATTCACCTAGTTGTATTTACCTAGTTGTATTTGCGGGGGTTCAGCATTTTTTTTTTGCTATTTCGGCCCGCCTCTCAACTGTCCATCAACGGTTTACTACTTTTTTTTCCACACCACACACACACACACCCCAGGAAGCAGCCCGTGACAGCTGACTAGCTCCCAGGTACCTATTTACTGCTAGGTAACAGGGGCATTCAGGGGTGAAAGAAACGTTGCCCATTTGTTTCTGCCTGGTGCGGGAATCGAACCCGCGCCACAGAATTACAAGTCCTGCGCGCTATGCACCAGGCTACCAGGCCCCAGCTGTGGAACAACAGCTGTGGAACAACAGCTGTGGAACAACAACTGAGGGACAACAGCTGTGGAACAACAGTTGTGGAACAACAGTTGTGGAACAACAACTGAGGGACAACAGCTGTGGAACAACAGCTGTGGAACAACAACTGAGGGACAACAGCTGTGGAACAACAGCTGTGGAACAACAACTGAGGGACAACAGCTGTGGAACAACAGCTGTGGAACAACAACTGAGGGACAACAGCTGTGGAACAACAGTTGTGGAACAACAGTTGTGGAACAACAACTGAGGGACAACAGCTGTGGAACAACAACTGAGGGACAACAGCTGTGGCACAACAGCTGTGGCACAACAGCTGTGGCACAACAGCGGTGGTATAACAGCTGTGGTACAACAGCTGAGGAACAAGAGCTGTGGTACACCAGCTGTGGCACAACAGCTGTGGAACAACAGCTGTGGCACAACAGCTTCGGCTCACACACCAACCTATTCTCTTTAATTGCCACAACGTCCAAAAAACATTGTGTTAACCAGAAACGCACTAACCCAAGACACCCACCTAACCCTACCTATTGTTACATAGTAAACGAGGGTGTGAGTCGCTACTCTTCATTAGTCCGTTGTAATTAGTACGTTGTGTAATTTGTGTGTGTACTCACCTAGTTGTGCTTGCGGGGGTTGAGCTTTGGCTCTTTGGTCCCGCCTCTCAACTGTCAATCAACTGGTGTACAGATTCCTGAACAGAGGTACGTAATTGTAATTACCTAAGTGTAATTACCTATGTGTAGTTACAGGATGAGAGCTACGCTCGTGGTGTCCCGTCTTCCCAGCACTCTTTGTCATATAACGCTTTGAAACTACTGACGGTCTTGGCCTCCACCACCCACGTTTGTGTGTGTGTGTGTGTGTGTGTGTGTGTGTGTGTGTGTGTGTGTGTGTGTGTGTGTGTGTGTGTGTGTGTACTCACCTATTTGTGCTTGCGGGGGTTGAGCTTTGGCTCTTTGGTCCCGCCTCTCAACTGTCAATCAACTGGTGTACAGATTCCTGAGCCTACTGGGCTCTATCATATCTACATTAGTAATATGTGTGTGTGTGTGTGTGTGTGTGTGTGTGTGTGTGTGTGTGTGTGTGTGTGTGTGTGTGTGTGTGTGTGTGTGTGTGTGTGTGTGTGTGTGTGTGTGTGTGTGTGTGTGTGCAGGCGCACGCGCGTCTCTCCCCCATGAATACTTCATCATTTAACCTAGTGTATAACCCTACCCTCCCTCCCACCGACCATAGCCCCTAGAGTACTGCACAACCATTATTCCTGATCATTCATTTAGGCGAGTGGTCCGGTCGAGAGCGCCCGCCGGGACGACCCGACCAAGACCCGACCTGCTAACAATTCGGGTCATTGCTGCCCCGAAATGTCTCAGTGGCATGTTCTCGTGGCCTTTCCTCCGTCAGGTCCCGGAATTACCCGTTACCTGTCTCTTTACCTGTCCAAGCTCTTGGGCTGGACGGTAGAGCGACGGTTTCGCTTCTTGCAGGTCGGCGTTCAATCCCCTGATCATCCAAATCGTTGGGTGCCATTCCTTTTTTCCGTGCTATTAAGAAATGAATATAACAGTATAACTATGAATTGCAGGCGACGAGTCACAATAACGTGGCTGAAGGGGGCGGGGCGTCTGGTTATAAAAATGCAAAAATGAAAACTCGTTCGATTTCAATCAAACTTTTTTGACAAGTTCTATATGAAAAGTGTTTCATCTGGTCCAGGTTTCAGCATCGTAGCATAAATAGGAAGGGAGAAAAAAAATATTGAAGTAGTTGTGAAAATTATGCCAAAATGGTCAAAATCGATTATCAATCAAAAGTGTCAACTGAAATCATAGCTATGACTCTTTGCTATCACAATAGCATATATTAAACAAATATTATAATTAGTTTAATTGAAAAAAAAAATTGAGAAATAAAAAGTATTTTTTTTCACTTTTTTTTCATTTTTTTCGGGCGATTTGCATAAAACTTACACACCTGACTGTACGTAAGCCTATCTGTAAGGATGCCAATTTTGGAGAAAATTGGTTGATGTCAACCTCAGCTACAAATTTTAGAACCTTAGACTTTATTCATTTCTGTTTTTTTTTTTCAATTGACACATACGTTTACAAAACTGATTCATTTTTTATTCAATTTACATGAAACTTACACAGTATATGTGGAGGGCATGTCTCTACATTGGAGACTTTTCATTTTTCTCTAAGTTCATTTATTGATTTTATAATAGCAATAAACATGCCATATTTGCAAAAAAAAATTTGGGAACTTTGAACATTTGTATTAGGAAAACTAAAGATGTTTTGGAAATTCTATATGTCAAGGTCCTTTATTATATGCTAATGTGTCAGAAAAGTGTCACAGAATAATTATATCTGAAACGTGTGTTCTGAAGTGTGGAC